TAGGTGGCGAGGGCAAATGATTTTCTAAGGAGTTCACGCGCCTTATTAATGACTGGCCTGCACCAGTTATCATAATTCTGTTTGAGATCAGACATCATAATTTGTAATCATTTTGGGAATCCTGTCAAGTTCACTAATAAATTTAGAATAAGAACCCCCGTCAAAAATCACGTTGGACTGGGTTTCCCTTTCAGAAATGGAATTCACGTACGAAAAGGCATACACTTTATTAAAGACTCTGGACAAACATAGTCCGAAAGACGGAACTTATACTGTTTCATCAAACAAGTGTATCCACTAAATGTAACGTATAAAGCAATAATATATATATATATATATATATATATATATATATATATATATATATATATATAGTCGAAGAACATTTGGGTTACAACTACACAGAAAAGACAACGATTAGACATCGAAAAACAAGAAAATTAATTCCATTTACTAAAATGTGGAAATGTCCACTCTTTGCCTGATGAACCGCAAGATTGGAAACACATGTAGCTAAATTATGGAAAATAAAGTATAATATATATTTTAAAACCTCCACATTATAATCAAAAACGTTTGCGGTTTCTCTCTTCTTTTTAATATATATATATATTTATGTGTGTGTGTGTGTGTGTTTGTGTGTGTGTGTTTGTGTGTGTATGTGTGTGTACGTGTTTATGTGTGTGTGTACGTGTGTGCAAACAAAAGCTTAGACTGTGATGAATTCTGTGTCTGAAGTGTCTAACGAACGCCGGACACACACACACACATATACATATATATATATATATATATATATATATATATAAAAAGGAGAGAAGAGAGGTGCCGCAAACGTTTTTTGGTTGTAATGTGGATTTATTTAGAAAAAATATTTTGCTTTGTTTTTTACATAATTTTTACTACACGTGTTTCTGGTCTCGCGACCGTCTTCAGGTAAAAGCGGAAATTTCCATATTATTTTTCCTTATGTTCAATGTTAAATATTCTCGATATGAGACTTTCATGAGAGAAATAGCTAGAAATAGATTGTTCTCATCCTGAGGTAAGTTTGTTTTTACCGTAATATATATATATATATATATATATATATATATATATATATATATATATATATATATATATATATATATAAGTTGTTTGTTTTTACTGTAATATATATATATATATATATATACAACAAAAATTTGGGCTTCAGTCATCAAGGCTAAAGGAAGATATTGACGAGAGCAAAATTTAATCACGAGTTTAATTTTTGTCATAATAAGATTTCAAATGAACTTCATACATCAGTTTTTAAAACATATATAATAATTTCTTTTATTTAAAGTAATTTGGGGGCCAACTTAAAAAAATACTAGGTGTTCCCTCAAAATTTTGAAGTGTAACACACACACAGACAGACACACACACAGACAGACACACACACATATTTTGGACACATAGGGAATCTCATTAACTATATTTTTTTACCTCAAAAGATTAAAGAAGTTATTTTTTTTTAAAGAAAAAAGATATAACATCTTTTTCTCGAAGAAAAGGTGTACTCAATGAAAATCACAGATGCAACACCCTTGATTGAATGCATAACGAGTGAATGTTCTAAAATTGATGCCAATGTGTAGTTATTGCACAGAGTTCACGTGAATGTTGCAAAGTGCATCAACCTTTGCATCACACATAATGAAGATGTTATTTATTAATATTGTAATTCAATAAAATGCTGTTGAAAATTTCATTTTTTGTAAATATGCATTTTTACCTAGATTTTAGTTACAAGCTGTATTTTAATCAACTTACCCTAACCAAGGCCTTAATGCCACTAAAACGCAAGAAGCTCCTGATAGTGAAAGACAATGAAAAGGCTTTAGAAGTATCCGAAAACCTAAACAAGCGATAAAAATCTGCTCCTGTTAAAAAAAATCAAGGAAGGCTTGCAGCTGGACGATAGGTGAGCCTATCGGGTTGCCTTCTCCTAATTTTCGAAACCGCTCCTAGGAGAGGTTTTCGGACTATAAATACTTTTTAATTTTCTCACTTTCTCCTCACCCTATTCTCACGTTATCCGCTTATTCATGAACATGTAGGTTTCTCGCGGAGAACGCGCTTCCCTTTGGGAAACACATGAACAATACATACACACGCACACATACGGACACACATTCACGAATTACACATACTTTGGACCATTAGTTTTTCAAATTCATTTGACCCACATATCTTTGATTTTGTCACTTGTAACCCTTTATTGTTAATATATTAGCATTTGTTTGTACATAGATATTGGTTCTTGACTCTTTATATTTTTCTACGTGGACTCACATCCTGAGTTTGCCATGTTGGTTGTGGGCATTTCTGTAGATACTCGTATTTATCTCTCAAAGCATACACCAGCCAGCAATAAAACAATCTAATCGTATTGAGAAGAAATAATTAATTAAATTTTAGAGATTAGACGGAGATGTTAGAAGTAGACTTCCGAAGGAACAAAAAACCCCATCCTAAACAGGAAACAAGGGATAAACCTATACTCCAGTTCAAAAGAAAGTGGAGGAGTGTTAACCGGACGATAGGTGAATCTATCCACTCCTATTGAGCAGAAGAATAAATAAATAGTTAAATAATTTCAGAATACAGGCGGCAATTTTACATTGATGCATGTTTCATTAAATAATATAGACAAGTTTTGTCTATTTATTTTAAGTAAGTTCCTTTCATATTATCTGATAAGGTTAATAACATTATCATTGAAAGACGAGAGAATATCACCATATTGATACATGTTTTAATCTTAAGCTTTCGGCATGCATATGCCATTATCAAAGATGACAGTTACATTTCAATATGTCGAACAATACACGGAAAAAACAAAAATGATAGTCTGTTTTTGTTGCATGAAAAATTTCAAAGCAACGAAAAAATCGTGTATACGAGACGCAGAAGCGAAAATCGCATCGCAGCTCCTGACGTCACACATGACCACGCGAGAGTGAAAACGAGAAATATTAAGTATGGGAAGCCGTTGGGATAAACCAATGGTTTAAATAAAATAAATAATCAAAAATTGTCTATATTATTTAATGAAACATGGATTTTCTTTTTTGAACATAAATTTATCTTTGGACATTCATTGTCCAACCACCCTTTTTATTAAATATTAAAATGAGATTTTGTTTAGTTTTAAAACGCTCGTAGCCGAAATGATGGTATCTAAGGAAATTACCTTCATATGTAATCAAAGTGTTAACCTTTCCGGGTAGATTTTTTCTCCAAAAAATAATCGTTCAAACCCGTTTATTTGGAATTCAATGGTAGGTCGATGCCCATTTCGTTTATTCTGGCACAAAATTTCAACCGTGACCGCGGAGCGGGGATTGAACTCAAAACTGAGAAATCGTCTAACTTAACGTAACTGTATATTAGATACTGCTGTGGTGATTATAGGCAAATCGGTATACGTGATTAAGTGTGATTGAAACTACAGGTGAAATAAAAAGAATATTAGGAGATTTTAATAATCTCATTTCTTGTATTTTTTAGTACAAGGCGCTGCCGAATTTTCTCCGTTCGACCCTCATCGGGAAATTTAACCAAATGACCAAACATCAGAGGTCTTTTATTGTTTTGTATTTTTAACGACATCTTAGACAGAACAATCACTTTTCAGTACTTAACTTTTGATATGTTCTTTCACTTATTCTTATGACTATTCTCTAAACCTAGTCGGGCATAAAGCCGCAAGAGTTAGTCCACGATTTACATCGAACTCTCTTGAAAGTAGTTGCTTAAAACGGCTGATCAAAAAGAGAGTTTCCAAGAAAATCAGATATTTGTCCAGATTTGGTAAAATGGTTGCGCCGAGAAATTTTCAGCACCACCTCGTATAGAGTCGTAAATATCTGTTAAGCTAGCTCGTTATACTCCCATGGTGAGACGTCACGCACTTTATACATAAATGCATACAATAAATATCCTTTAAGTTTAGTTAGAAGATGAAATTAAATACAAGCACTTAATCGATTTAATTATAAGGACGATTAATTTTTATACACTCTGCTATGGGTGGAAGATTTTGTCAAAAGATTTACAGAAAGTTAAATCAGCTACCCAAGATCCGAATACACAGAGAATAGATTTTATTCTTTTTTTTGGAGTGGGGGGTATCTTAATTTTACTTTATGGATACGTACGCAAACGGCCATGTGTGTAGTCTTTCGTTGCGCCCATGTAACTTAAAATCACAGATGGAAAAATTTTAAATCGAATTTTACAAAAAATATTTTATCGGAAATAATATTTTTTTTAAATTGATATATTTCTCTTAAAAAAGATGAATGTTGAATGTTCTAAGATGTAAAAGGAACTTCTTTGATCACCGAACTGCAACTAAGGTAGGAAAATTTCGGATATTATTCATTTGTTCCTTTTATCTGGTCTCCTTTATTGTTTTTGGATGCAATTATATTTATATAGGAAATGGATCTTCACTGAATAATATTTTGAAACATTTGTTTGAAATAGTAATCTAACTTAATTGTCATTTACATAAATATGGAGAATGTTACAGAGAAGATATGTATTAATACATTAATAGTCTAGATACAGTGGAGTAATAGCTAGTGGCTCAGATTAAGGAATCTTTGAGCCGAGTTCGAATTCCAGTCGAATCCATTATATTTGAAAAAGGTATGAATCCTCTTTTTCTGCTCCATCTATGGGTAAATAGCAAGACAGATTAGGTCCTATAGTTTTGGATGGCAACTGATCTACGGCAGAAAGAAATAGTAAGCTACTCGTCAGTCATGTATCGAAAGATGGTTGCCTAAACTGACTCAGATTTTAAGGTTAATTATATAATTTCAATAGAACTTGTTAATCTTGGAACACTTTTCAATATTCGCTTAATTATGTACAGTTATTTTATCTCTTTAGGAAGAGAGATAGATAGAGGAAATTACGACATTATTTTACCAATGGGTTGATTTAAACTGAACATATGA